TTTTGAACATTACTTAAAGGTTCAACTAGTTTTGTTTCATATATTAATTATTACTAGAAACGATCAACGAACCGATGGTTAATCGTTGATGGTTTCACAAGTAAGTAACTTCGGTTTATTAATGCACGGTCGTGGTTAATAAACTTAAGAGGGATTAATTTTGTTGGTTAAATCTAAACCGCTTGTGTTGAGGTTATCAATCTCAATTGATTTCATCAAGGAGTTAGAAAGATTAAATGCTACTATTAAATCGGTATAAGGCGTTGTTCTATATTTGATTAATAGTAAGGGTTATTAATGAACGGTCGTTGTTAATAACTATCCTCGATGAAGTGGATATACTCCCCGATTGAGTATTCGAGAGGGAATAAGTTATAGATATGACAATTATCGACTAAAATATATCAACAAGTGGAAAGTATCAATGTCAAGTCCTTTTTATCTTTGAATTAAACACATATAGGTTGTTCATCTTAGTTCTTAATTAAATTAAATCACTCAATCCAAATCCCCCCTTTTTATTTACTTAGTATCATAAAAAGAGAATTATTCTTTTCCCTGTGGATACGAACTCTACTACGCTATACTACGTATAAGTGTTTACTATTGAAATTATTTTGACGCACCGTGACAAAGTGCGCGTCAGCGGGGGCGGCCAGGGATATGCTGTATTAGTAAAGTACGAAAATACCCATCAAGAAAGCAAAATAGATAAGACTGCCAATAAAAAAGAAAAATAAGAGACGGGTGAGGTCTTGTTCCACTTGACCCAGAAATTGGATTTCCCGGTGGTCTTTTTCGGCCGGACTCCATTCGGACATGATCCTGATAACTAACCCACCCCGAGCTGATTATGAGAAACCCATTTATGCCTTTGAATGAGAGTTTTGGGTAAAACTCCACTCTCCTTAACCCACAAATCTTGTTGGTGTGAGGGAGGTTGACGAACCAGATCCCCAGTACTCAGGTTAATCACTCCTGGGTCTTTGACTGCTCATATGCAAAGTCTGGTTCCTCAAAATACTCTTTGAAAGCATTATATTAATGCATTGAACTGTGGTAGATTATTGCATGTATTATGTGTTACAGTGTGGTTGATTATTGGTTTGAAAATGAAGTCATTGATGCGTCATTACAATGGTTGATAATCGATATTTACATCAATGATGTAATGCAATATGATACGGCAACAAATTAATGCACATATTTACGGCATGTTCTATTAAATAATGAACAATACTCCCCTGTCCCGTTGGAAGGTCCCCATAGCAAAACGCCACGGTTATTTAGGAAATAATTAAATAAAGTACTTCGAGTATATTTTGAGAAATAATTTTAATAGGTATATATTTTTATGTAGTTAGTATTGATAACTGTGATGTTATAAATGTATTATTTTTAATATTTAATGATTATGTTTTTGATATTTTTAATATTTAATAGAAAGTGCTCTAAATAGGAGCAAAAACGTTTTGAAATTCCAAAATAGGAGTATCATGTTTTTTATTCCAAGTTTGGAAAAAAATTTCCAAAATATGAGTATCATATTTATTCCAGAATATGAGTAATCTGCCAAGTTTGGAAAAAAATTTCATGTTTTAAAACCTTGTAATGCCAAACTTGGCAGAAATTTACGTAAATACGTAAGAAAGATGACATTTATAATTATGGTCATCAATGTTGATGCATACAACGATCCGTAAAAATAAGAGACAAAATAATGGTCATCAATTCAAACACACATAATTACAAGAACATATGTATGACTTGTAAAAGGAAGACAAATATGATAAAATATGTGAAGTAAGAAAAAAAAAACATTAGCAACGCATAGACGGAATGATATGTAAGAGTATTAATTAGAGAAATACTTACCATAGCAATCACCGGAAGGGTAGCGAAGGAATAAACAAATTCAGGCGAATGGGGTTCCATTAAGCGCCTGATGGGATGGGTATAGATTAGGAAAAAAACATTGAGGTCATATTATGGGAAAAATTAAGAGTTCTAGTCATACTAGGTAGGGCTGCACAAGAATAACCCGAATCCGCATAACCCGCCCGAGCCAACCCTACCCGACCCTATTTAAACGGGTATTTGATTTTTAAAAATATTCATGGGTTAAATATGATTGAACCCGTACCTAATGGGTAGGGTTGCGGAATTAAATCTCCAACCCGATAGTACCCGACCCGGCCGAAGTCCATTTTACTATTATTATGCTACAATGTTTTCTTGGATAATTTCAATTTAAGACCAATGTGCTCTATCTAGGACTTTATGATACTAGAATTATAATTAAACATTTACCATTTTGACTAGGTGATTATTATATATTTATATTCCTTTTAAATGATCTTCCTTTATGGAAGGATGTTTTGATACTACTGGTATTATCTAATGTTTTTGCTTATAAAAGATACGAGTACTTGTATTTGTTTGTGTGTTTTGAAAACAAGTTAATCGGGTTTTAAATTGGTTACATTAATCTCCCACATAAAGATGCAACCCGAAGTGATTTTTTTTTCCAATACCCGACCCTACCCAACTCGTTCATGAATGGTTTACCAACTTATTTTGCATACCGCGGGTTGAATAATAGCCAACCCGAACAAATCGGGTAGGCCCAAAAAATATAGCAAACCCAACCCAACCCGCCCGATGTGCAGCCCTAATACTAGGGGTAAAATCCCCCCCTTTTGTTACTAGTTACATAAAAGATAAATACTCCTTTTCCTGTGGATACGAACCTTACTACACTATACTACGTATAAGTGTTGTATTGTATTTATTTTGAGTGCACCTCACGACAAGTGCACATCATCATGCTATATGGCTCCTAAATTTATTCAAAGAAATAGGCATGACACAAAAGGAAGCTACAGAGATATTTGTGGATAATAAGTCCGCAATAGCATTGGGAAAGAATCCGGTATTTTATGATCGAAGTAAGCACATTGATACCCGCTAGGGCTGCACATCGGGCGGGTTGGGTTGGGTTTGCTATATTTTTTGGGCCTACCCGATTTGTTCGGGTTGGCTATTATTCAACCCGCGGTACGCAAAATAAGTTGATAAACCATGCATGAACGGGTTGGGCAGGGTCGGGTATTGAAAAAAAAAATCACTTCGGGTTGCATCTTTATGTGGGAGATTAATGTAACCAATTTAAAACACGATTAACTTGTTTTCAAAACACACAAACAAATACAAGTACTCGTATCTTTTATAAGCAAAAATATTAGATAATACCAGTAGTATCAAAACATCCTTCCATAAAGGAAGATCATTTAAAAGGAACATAAATATATAATAATCACCTAGTCAAAATGGTAAATGTTTAATTATAATTCTAGTATCATAAAGTCCTAGATAGAGCACATTGGTCTTAAATTGAAATTATCCAAGAAAACATTGTAGCATAATAATAGTAAAATGGACTTCGGCCGGGTCGGGTACTATCGGGTTGGAGATTTAATTCCGCAACCCTACCCATTAGGTGCGGGTTCAATCATATTTAACCCATGAATATTTTTAAAAATCAAATACCCGATTAAATAGGGTCGGGTAGGGTTGGCTCGGGCGGGTTATGCGGGTTCGGGTTATTCTTGTGCAGCCCTAATACCCGCCGCTATCACTACATTCGAGAATGCATTTAAAGAAAAGAGGTTGAAGTAAAGTATGTAAGGTCACATGATCAAATCGCAGACATTTTCACGAAGCTGCTCAAGCATGAAGTTTCGAAGGTTGAGGACCATGCTCGGAGTTACAAAAAAAAGTTTAAGGGGGAATGTTGAAAATTAAACTTGTTTTTTGGGCCTAAATAATATGTTGTTGGGAAGGCCCAAGTGATTGAAAAATGTAGAAAAAATAATTTCTAGAGCTTATCTAGAAGGTGTGGTCTATAATTTTCTTATAATTAAATGAGTAGAATTGTGTAGAATGCATTAATTATAGAAGGATCTAGATATCTTTGTATTAGTATAAATGGAGGTCTCCTACCCCGACTTTGCATCAAGCAAATCAATAAAATTGAGTTGTTCTAATAAAAGAGTTCTTCCCATTTGTTCAAATACCACTTCCATAATATTTCTAATTTAGCCTCCCAATTTCCCAAATCTTTCTTCCCTTATTTCCAACATTAATTAGGTTTCTTGAATGTTTGGGCCTCTAAGAACTTGCAGGTTTATCAAATTTCCGTTCTAACATCCTTTGTTCATGAGCTTGCAAAGAACCTTGTAACTGTTCCAGTATCAAAATTTCAAGTTCTTTGACTCTTCAATTGCAACTACAACATGATCAAAGTTAAGTTAGGAGTCAAAGTTCTCAATACCTTTTCTACAATCATCTCTCAGTCATCTTCTCCCCACAATTTTTCATTACGTTTGTCAAAGCAATAATCATGTTGATGAAATCCTCAACTGTCTCGTCATTCTCCATTTTCATTAGTTCATATTGCCTTCCCATAGTCTGCAACTTAACCTTCTTTAATTGATCTGCACCCTTATTGCATTTTTCCAAAGTTTCCCAGGCGTCATTAGAGCTTGGGGCAGATGCGATTTTATCAAAGTGGGCGTTATCATTAACGCACTGATGAATTAGAAAAATGTTGGCCTTGAAATCCCTCTTCTTGTTTTCCCTGTACGCAACCCTTTGCTCTTCTGTGGAGTTCTCACTTAGAATCGGAACCCGTCTTCTTCAATGTCTATGACTTCCTATAAGCGAATACCACTTTCATTTAAATTGACTAGCATTGTCAATTCTTGCCATCAAGAATTGGGAGATTAGTAGGGAAATTGGTAGTGATCATCGCCATGCTTCGTGAAGTATCAAGCTCTGATACCAGATATTGTTAGGATAGTTGGGAATAAAACGGAAAGTTTAACTAATACTTAGAAGAGAGGGAAAGGCTAGACTGATTATTTTTACACTTATTAACAACTTTGGTTATTACACATCTTAACAACATTGATAGAAGGATTGAATCAATATGGATTAAATAGAATAAAGATAAAAATGATATATTTATTATAAGTTGGAGGACCAAAATTATATAGTCAACTGACCTTTTTTAATTTATTACAAATGATTGCTACAGATTACAAACCGTGGTCTTTGGCTCTTAATTTATTGCAAATGATTGTTACGGATTACAAATTGTGGTCCTCACTGAGCCAAAGGATATCCATCGTTTTAGCCTCAATGTAAATAGCCTACGTCCCACGATTGCTTGGCTGCAAACCAATATGAATAAAAATACAAATTATCTGTTAGAAACTAAGGAGTAATAAAATTCAAACTGTGTATGTACATCATACTTCTGTAAAGCGTACTCCTTGTTTTTTTAAGCATGAACTAGAATAGTACGGAGTATTATGTAAATAAAAACCAGAAAGGGCAAGAATTACTTATAACAACTAACAAGTGCGTTAAACAAATATAAATAGGGAGTATTTGTCTAATAAGTTTTTCTACCGTTTTTATTGGCTTAACGAGTACTCGACCTCTTGAAAAGTCAAATAGTGTGACAAGATCAGGGAAAAGGGTAACATGCGGCTGAGGTAACTCTTCCAAAATACTACCTCTCTCCCATAAAATAAGTCTCACTTCAATTTGGATCGTAGTTTAAGAAAATGGGAATAAAGTGTAGATGTATGGTTGCGGTTGAGTAAGAAAAAGGTAAATGAATGATAGCCGCACAAAACTTTCCAAAAAGGGAAATGAGAACAATTTTTTGAGACGGCCCAAAAATGAAAGTGAGGCTTATTTTATGGGACGGAGTGAGTACTTCGTACTTATGAAACATGAGGGCAATAAACGATATGATCTTCATTAACTAAGGTTGTACTCGTATAATACTACGTATAATAATACTCCGTAGTTAAAAAGAGTATAAGTTAGTCTTATCGTAATCGAAGTCTTTGGTAAAAAGAGTTTCATTTCACACTTTTATAGTTCAAATAATAATAGAGAAATTTGCTCCTAATAGGACCAAATCATAGCTCTTTTACAAAAATAATACCGGCTAATGTTTTTTCCATTCATATTACCTATTTAGTTCTACATTAGGAAACTTATTTCTAACTTTCCAAATTTGCCCTTCAACTTTATGAAAGTAAACCAAAAAAAAACTTCCGCCTCTAAAGACCTCGCTTCTTATCCGCTGGATTATTGAGAAGATGGCGTCAAGTGACGCACAGCTGAGGCTACTCGCACCTGCAATGGTCTCTGAGGACGACAAGCTCGTTGATGTTTCCGATCAAGGCGTCAATTCGGCGCATGGCGGAGATCTCGCGCTTGATGTTTCCGATCAAGGCGGTGCTGGCGATCTTCTTCTTGTTGATCGCGATCTTCTGTTCCATCTCCGGCATCCGCGACGGCAATGCCTTAGATGAAGGGAAAACGGGTGGTTTTATACGGCTGATTGATTGAGGGCTTTAATTATTGGGAGATTATGGTTTGATTTTTGTTGTTGGTTTTGCAAACAGCATTGATCCCGTCCAAAATTATGGGAGCTATAATTTGTTTCTTGCTCTGCAATCAAATCATTGTTATCAGAATTTATTGTTTATTTATTGTCTACTTATTGTCTATTTATTTTCTATTTAATGTCTGTTATTTTCTAAAAGTAAGGGTATTGTGGTCAATGCAGGTGTAGTTGAGTCTTACGCTAATCTTCCGTCTTATTTTTGGAAAATTCGTATGTTTTGCTCCTACTTGTTGAAATCCCCCATAATAATATGTGGAATCATAAATGTCATATTAGGAGGGTGACCAAAGCCATGTACATGCATGCGTATACTTGTCTAATGTCTAAGTTAATAGATAAAACAAATTAAAACAATGAATAATCTCTTATTTATTTTCATTTTGGTCGATGAAGATGTAGAAATAAGGGAGATATATATAGGAAATTTCTACCGTACCTTCAAAAAAATTAGGCAATTTCTATGGTACCTTGATGGTATGGACCAATAAAAAATTTTCAATTGAATAATTTAAATGCAAATAAAATGTAAAACTTTGAGTTGAACCAATGAAATGCATCCTAGGTATGGTACCCTCCTATTTTAGTTGAGTACCATAGCAAGCACCAAAAAATTAATGTACTGGTATCTTAACCTCCGTAGCCAATAAAATTCTATTCTGAAGCCACGTTACATCCTAGTCATTAGTATAATAAGTATTATTATTTGCACCATAGTCCCTGATAAATAACTGCAATATTTTAACGTTTGTTAACTGCTCCTTCACTGCCGTCGCAACCTCTTTTCCTTCCTGACGCTACGGCAACATGAAACCAGAAGCCAATCAAACACCATGCGCGACGCAATTGATGCCAGACATTTTAAAAATTGAAGGATAAGTGTTGAAAACATTTGTGTCTAGGAAAAACAAGAATAAGGTTGCTTCTTGTTTTTTTAAAGAGGTTATGGGACACGGTGTCACCTATGGAGAAGACCGGTGCTGCAACGGTGGATTGAGGGCGAGGCGAGAACGATGAATGCGCAGGAGAAGAGGCCGTATGTGCGGAAGAGACGGCTGAGGGTGCAGCAGCCGATGCACAAAAGTTTGGTTCTCATTTTTGGCTGATGTTTCAGTTCGTTTCATCGGTAGGTTTGATACTTTGATGTAGCGGCACAAAACCGGCGGAGTGATTTTTGTGTGGAACTTACGGGAGTAACGTGTGTGACGGATTATTCAGTAGTTAAAAAACTTTAAATATTTCATTTATTTATTAGGGCCTAAACTACAAATAGTAAAACTTAATTTAGTAGTATTAGTAAGATCCTAACGTGGCTTCCCACTGCAATGTGATTGGCCCAAAATGTTAATGCACCGGTACCTTTTTTTTTGAATGCACCATAGAAGAACCCATATATATATCGAGTAGTTGGAGTTGGTCCATTTCAAATTCTAGACCACGTCAGCACAAGGACACAGTTTGAAGGTGAGTTTATTAACCAAATACTTAAAAAAATGATGAGAAAAAGAAAATGATGAAGTAAAGGTTAACCAAATACTAGAATTCACCAAATACTAGAATTCAAATGTGAAGAGAAAAAGAAAAAGATGAGTAAAGATTTTCATATGAAAGCCATTAAAAATCTTGGAAAAGAGTAGTCAATTACATAAGTGACATTTCAAATACCTTAATTATGAGCATAAAAGTCAAATAAAATAGTTGAACAATTTTTATTATTATTAATATCACAAATCTATAAATAAGCATCCAACATTATAATTAACATATATTCTGTATTACATACATAAAATCAAAAAGGGAGAACGAACACAAAAAATATAGAAATAATATATATAATCCATCAAACCCAAAAACATGTTAACATAAAGGGAAAATGAACACAAGAAATCATGGATATGAATGCAAAAAACATTGAAGCATTTCAACAAACACCTTGTGAGCATAAAAGTGATAGAATAGTTGAATAATAATTAAAATTATAAACATCACTAGTCCATCACAATACAATAATGTAATAATGCAGTAAACATTCTAACATGTATTCTATGCTTAAAATCGAAAAGAAAAAATATAAACAACTTTAAATCTAAATGCACAAGAAAGGGACAAACCTCAAATCAAGGTAGGGAGTAAAAAGTACTCAGTAGTTTAATTCATATTTCAACAAAGTGGCTTCTCATAATTTTCATGTCAATTGAGAGTTGACATCTCCAAAAATTGAAAGCTTATGAGAATGAAGGAAAGAAAAATGTCGAAACAGGGCTACGGTAAAGGAATGAGCGCAGAGAAGAGAGGAAGAGAGGAGAAGGAAAGAGGGAGAGAAAAAGGGGTAAAAAGTGAATGTGAAACGGTAAAAGCAAAAAGATAGACCAAAACGACGTAGTTTTGGTCTATTTAATTAAAATAATTTTGGAAAACAAAAAAAGAACGCATGGGGGATTTTGAACATGGTACCTCCCACAACATAGAAACTTTCAATCCAATGCATGCTCCTGTTCCCCTGCTCCGTTCTATTGATTCTAAGGTCGTTTTTTTGTACCCCATGGGACACTTACTAGGTCCGCCTCTGCTTCAAAGAATTTCTTTTCGCATGTTTTTATCACACCACTAAAACTAATTTAATTGGTTTTATAATCTTACTAAATTGTTAAAGCTCATTCTTTAAATTGTTAAACTAATTATGTTTTATGCTTCTTTAATATTTTTTTATTAATTTTATACTCTGTATTAATTAGAGATTAAAGATATAAAAGGGTAGGGACCCCGTGACTTCGACTTTCTGGGTCCACCACTGAGGACACATGCCCGGCCAAATAGTTAAAGAGTCGACGTAAAAGGCATATATGTAAAAGTCAATATTACCGTACATGCTCTACTATACATAGGAGCAATATATCACAATTTTATGCTATTAAAAATAAGACACACATTTAGCTTTGATGCCTTTATGTATAAAAATTGTATAATTTTTCTATATTTCTATTTTATAATATATTTTTTTATAATTAAGGTAGGGTTTTTTCCCGCCCAATGAAAGCAATAATGTTGTTGCATATGATGCTATGATATGACATTGATTTTGAACTTTCTCAATATGGCTGCCACATGTTTGTCATTTTATTACTTCAACAAATTAAAATGAGTTTGTGGTGTGTTTCTTCACATTGTAAAGTTGATGAATTGAAATGTTTCTAAACTATCTATGTTTTTATGAATCGGAGAGAAATTTATAAAGCTATCTAAGAGTCCACTTAGTGACACGTATTTTCGGCTTATCGACCATAACAACCAACTTTTTCATCAAACACGTATCTTTTGATTTAACGCATTGAATTGTGTAATAATCAAAATAAGTAAGGTTGTAGTTACTTTTCTCATTGAGTTAGCTATCATTTAACTACGTATATAATTCTCATTGTAATTAATAAAATATATTTTAAATATTTATTAATTTAGCGAATTCAGCCATTTCAACCAGAACTTCATCAATTTTAGCAGAATTAGCTGATTCAGTCAATTTGAGTATTACCGTACATGCTCTAAATAGGGGCAATATATCACAATTTTATGCTATTAAAAATAAGACATACATTTTGCTTTGATGGCTTTATGTATTAAAATTGTATAATTTTCTATATTTCTTTATAATAATCAATATTTTTATAATTAAGCTAGGGTTTTTTCCTGCCGAATGAAAGCAATAATGTTGTTGCATATGATGCTATGATATGACATTGATTTTGAACTTTCTCAATATGGCTGCCACATGGTTGTCATTTATTCACTTCAACAAATTAAAATGAGGTTGTGTTGTGTTTCTTCACATTTTAAAGTTGATGAATTGAAATGTTTCTAAACTTTGGTGCTCAAAATAGGAAATAGAAATATTGAGAATGTCATAGATTGAGATGTCTTCATTGATATACCCGATGATATATTTATTACGACTTCAGATGATCCTATTACTTCAATTGTTGCTAGCACGTAGTATCCATCATTTCTAGAGAATATGACTGATCTATTTTTAATGTTTTTTACGATTTCTGATTATTTTTTAAGATTTTATTATCAATTATAACATTTCATTATGAAACAATACCCTTAGGGGCATTTCTGGTAGGACTTTAGTCCTATTTGGGAGTGTTAAAAATGTAGTAATCTCCATTTTAGAGAATTTTTAGACTTATCTAGAGCAATTACAATATTTATAAATGCCTTAAAGGTTTTCAATATCTAGAGCCCGTTTGGTATCACGAAAATCGGCTGATTTGACTTATTCTGCTGAAATGTATGAAGTTATGGCTTAAGTGGCTGCATTGGCTGATTCTGGTGATTTAAGAAACAATTACTTTTAAAATACATTTTATTAATAAAATAAAAATTATATGTAAAAATAGCTAAAATGATCATCTACAATAACTTTAGTCAATACAGCCAGAAAAGTAACTTCAACCTTAATTTTTCTTATTAGGGAGTATTACCCAAGCGCCTGAAAACAAAAGTTACCACCGGTCGAAAAAGTTTTGCGAAAAGTTACTTTTTCTTATTTTCAAATGTTTTGCGAAAAGGTTGGCTTAGGCTGATAAATCAAAAAACAGTACGGTGTCCTAATTTTTCTCACAAGTTAGTTCAAGTAATTCTGCTATTGTTGGATAAACTATCTCGAATAGGAGAAATTAAAACAAATCTGCTTACCTTGTTTAGAAATCATCCATTTGTAGTCACCACCGGCGGCCCAAAAGTAGTAACCACGGAGGTTGAGCTCTTTTGCATATTTCACCTTCTCGGAGATGGACGTCGGATCGTCGTACCCGATCCATGACGTTCCGGCGGCGGAGTACACTGATACTGTCGCGTTGTCGTAAACAACCGTCGCGTTGTTCTTAGTATTATATCGCTGAATCTCGTTAAATGTCAGAGTTCCGCTCCCCGGGCCGACGTCCACAGCCGGAGCCCCGATGCCGTACGAGCTAGGGTCCAACGTCCATGTCTTTCCGTAGAGAGCCAGCCCCACTGCGAGCTTACTTTCCATTATCCCCGCCTTGATCCACTGCCTTAGACCATAGCTGGTGCTGATGTTGCTTTTCGGGTCGAACAGAGCGGTGTGGGCTCCGGTCGCCGTCGTATCCCACGATCCGTGGTAATCGTAGCACATTGCGTTGATCCAGTCCAGATTCTCGTTAATCGCAGCGACAGGGTATGCTCTGTACTGCTCCGCCAGGAAGAAATCCGCCGAGAAATACGTCGCCGCCGTGAGTAATAGCTGCGGTTCCGCCGGAAACGCCTCCTTTCGGACTGCGGCCCGCCAATCAGCCAATAGCAGGCCTAAATCGTCCATTTCCTTAGGGTTTTGAGGCATTTGCCAGTCCAAATCAATCCCATCGAATCCAAACGTTCGAGCCACGTGTATGCTAGAGTCGATGAAGATCTTCCTGGTCGAAGTACTCGAAGCCATGCGCGCGAAAATGTTCGCGTCCGCGCCGGCGCCGCCGACGGAGAACAGAGTCTTCGCCGGCTTGGCCTTTGACCTGAGGGCGGAGGTGAAGCGGCGGAGCTGATGGGCAGTGGAATTGTCGACGTCGAATCGAAACGTGACACTGTTGGGAACAAGAAATGCATAATAGACGTGTGTGAATAAAGTGGTGTCTATGGCGGATGGCGGGAAAGTTGTTTCAGACCAGGAAGGCCAATAAACCCCTTTCACAGGCAAACGAGAAGAAGGGTGATGATGTAATTTCCTGCCAAACCTATTACCGGAGCCAAATGAAAGTATCATATAAATTGCTGCCAAAATGTTTTGGAATATTGGAGACATAACTAAAAATCCCAATTTGTGTATTTTGGAGAATTTTGAATTGAAGGTTGATATTTGGGGCTGCTGAATACATATATATATACGGAGGCAGTGGAATGATAATTTTGAAAAGAAATGTCATAAATCCAGTACTTAGATGGATTATCCATTCATAATGAAATGTGTCGATACAGAGGTAGAAAGATTGAAAACTATCGATATAGGACTTAAAAATTCATAGAGTTTTATTTATTTAGTTTTTTATTAATTCCATTGCTAAATATCGATAAATTTTTCTTCACAAAAGTTTATCAATTTAATAAAATTATATAGGGATAAGGGTCAGATAGGACCTCGAACTTATAAAAAATGTCAAATAAGGTCATATATAGGATGCTCTGTACGTCCGACGCCATTTGGGGTGGTTACCGGTTAAATTTTTCGATGAAATTTTTTAAGCATCTTATTCATTAAGTCTAGTTTACTGATATCAAATTTGAACTAAAAATTCAATCGGGAAGGCATTCAAATGAATTCTCGAAAATAACTGCGCATTTAAAAGCGCGGTTATCTTCAAGAATTTATTTGAATGCCTTCTCGATTTTATTTTTAGTTCAAATTTGGTATGACTAAACTAGAATTAATGAATAAGATTCTCAACACAAATTATCAAAAAATTCCATCGGGAACCGCCCCAAATGGCGTCGGCCAGACAGAGCATCTTATATAAGACTTTATTTGACACTTTTTTGTAAGTTTGTGGCCCTATCTGACCCTTATTCCAATTATATAATATTTTAGAATTTTAAAATAACAAAGTAATAAAGTTCATGACAACTTACATTCTAGATTGACAATTTTTAAACATTCGAGGTTCATATCGATACGATTCGTCTTTCGGGTATTGGATTGATAAAATTCCTTTTGAAAATGTTCTCAGCTTCTAAAAAAGGTTAACCTTGACCATTTATCACGTTTATGGAAACATTATAGAAATTTCTCTAAATAGGATTAAAATTTAGATAAAATGCACAAATACGACTACATGTATTTTATTCGCAAAATAGGACTCATTTGATCTTACTAAAAATATAATTTTCCTCTATTGGAAGTGAGTAGGTACTATTTTAGAAAGAAAACAACAATAGTCCTATATGTGCACTTTGTGTATATTTTAGTCCCATATAATGAATCGAAATTGCCCTGAAAACGAGTAAAAATGTTTTGAAAGTATAAAATACAACTCTCGTGTTTTAGCCATATTTAGGGAATAAAAATATGATGATCATATTTTAGAATTTCAAAACGTTTTTACTCTTAGAGAATTTTCTCTATAATGAATTTTCTCACAACATTATTATAAGAAAATGTCAAGACTGTTCATTTATCACGTTTGTGAACAAATTATCATGCTTTATAAATTAAATTTAGTCGTTCCAATAAAATTCATGGACTGATTTCATTTTGTTACTGCCTCCAAGATCTGGATGTTTGTATTTGCCAACCTACATTACAATTTTTGGGGCTGAAGTCGCCTCCAACCCCTCACCTCCGCCATTGTGAATCAACATTTATTTGTCTAATATTACGTATCTTTGTAATAGATATGGAGTAAAACAAATTAAAACAGTGAATAATCCCTAAATTTTTGCGATGAAGATGTAGAAATAAAGGAGATAATTATCCAAAAGCAGGATTTATGGAATCCTACCATCTGGAGTATTGTGTCATCATCATCATCATTCATTTATTTAGCAGATGATCCACTGCAAAATGAATGAATACCGTGGTGCCACAGTACATCAAACGGAGCTCCGACCTTTTTAACATTTTTGAAATATCGAGTAGGTGGTAGCACATGCATAAGACCTAACTCCAAATAAAGGAGATAATTATCCAAAAACAGGATTTATAGAATCCTACCATCTGGAGTATTGTGTCATCATCATCACCATTCATTTATTTAGCGGATGATCCACTGCAAAATGAATGAATACAGTGGTGCCACAGTACATCAAACGGAGCTCCGACCTTTTTAACATTTTTGAAATATCGAGTAGGCCGGTGGTAGCACATGCATAAGACCTAACTCCAAATAAAGGAGATAATTATCCAAAAACAGGATTTATAGAATCCTACCATCTGGAGTATTGTGTCATCATCATCACCATTCATTTATTTAGCGGATGATCCACTGCAAAATGAATGAATACAGTGGTGCCACAGTACATCAAACGGAGCTCTGACCTTTTTAACATTTTTGAAATATCGAGTAGGCCGGTGGTAGCACATGCATAAGACCTAACTCCAAATAAAGGAGATAATTATCCAAAAACAGGATTTATAGAATCCTACCATCTGGAGTATTGTGTCATCATCATCACCATTCATTTATTTAGCGGATGATCCACTGCAAAATGAATGAATACAGTGGTGCCACAGTACATCAAACGGAGCTCCGACCTTTTTAACATTTTTGAAATATCGAGTAGGTGGCAGCACATGCATAAGACCTAACTCCAAATAAGTGGTCATTGATATGTAAAAGCATATGCAAAAGTCTAAAACTTCATCCGCACAAAAGCAGTGTTAGGTCAAACTGACTCAAGCAAAGTTTGTTTTATAACGATGTACACACTAAGACTATTCACATCCATGAATACTGAATAGTACTCCATATAAGACTATCAATTTAATTTTTCTCGATTAATAATAAAAAAGACAAAAACGTTTGAATAGTAATTTTAGTTATTATATTTACGTTAAACTTTTAACTTAATAAAAGAACTTATAACAAAGAACATTTTTATATAACTTTCAATTTTGAAATGATTTCATACTCCCTTCGTCTCATTGGATTTGTCAACTTTTCCGTTTTGGTTGTCCCAAAAAACTTTGTCACTTTTCCATTAAAGTAACTAATGTGTGATTCTGCGCATTTCTCTCTCTTATGTAAAAACTTCAATCACACAATTTTTACTATTTTTATTTCTCAATTAATCCAAAGAGTGCAAAGTCGATTGAAACAAATGTTGTATTAAGAGATGTAATTGGTCAAAATTGATCATCATTCACGAAGAAAAGTCAATATGATCATGTTTTATGGGACGGATGGGGTATTAACACATTTATATATCAATATTCGTATATCATTAATTAGTGATATAACCCGTGTAACACCTGGGGCATGTCCCGATAGTATTAATTTGATATCGATCAGGTGATAAATACTAATAAACATTGTGAACTATTCATATGAAATGATCAAAATTTTCGCTATAATCAATTTCTTTTACTCCCTCCGACCCTTTACATTTAGCCTAACACTATTTTTCAAGTCAATGATGTTACACTTTGACAGATTATATATTTATACACGATAATATTGATAATATGAAAATGATATGAAAATGTTCTTTGTTAAAAATACTATCATAAAAGTATAAATTTATTAAGTTTCACACACACACACACACACACACACACACACACACATATATATATATATATATATTAGTTAAAGTAATGGATCAAAGTTTATCATCTTTGACTGGAAAAGTCAAGGATGACTAAATAAAGAGAGACGAAGGTAGTATGAACTAACCACCATCATGGAATACAAGTGAGGATAGAAGAGCTATTTTGTGTGCAAAGTTTGTGCAGAGGAGGATGAACCAGAAGAACACATTTTTAAATCTTCCATGATTGCGGATATGGTGTGGAGGAAACTGGGGGCCCGATATGTCCGGCAAGGCAGACTTTTACTGATTGGATTAAAAACTTTTTTGATAATTTGCAGGATGAAGACTTATGTATTTTTATTGCTAATCTTTGGAGTATTTGGAAGATCCGGAATGATAAAGATTGGAAGAACCAAGATGCGGATTGGCGCCATTGCTTGGAGATGGGAGCAGCGGTTCTACGCGGATGAAAAACAGCTCAGATAGAGTCTGGAGGCACAACAAGGGTGACACGTCAAGCGTCTGGATGGAAAAAACCAGCGGAAGGCAAAATTAAAATCAAAGTGGATGCGGCGCTAGATCTACACAATAATAGACGATCATGGGTTTGGGTAGTCAGGGATGCACATGGCAATTTCATTGGCAGTGGTTGGAATGTGGAAGGCGCAAACTGGTCAGCAGAAATCACTGAAGCAGTTGGAGTACGTGAGGCGTTGGCTTGAACAAAAACACAGAATTAGGGGAGGATAGAATTAGAGACAGATTCTCACGTGGTTGCGGCTGGTTTAGTTAAACGATGGAGGAGATGCCTATTTGGATACTATTTTAGATGAAATAAGACTCAGTCTTTGTAATGAAGCTAGGATAGAAGTCATTCATGGTAGACGATCCGCGAATGTAGTAGCTCATAAGTTAGCCAGGGCTGCTCTTTCTATGTCAGATGGTTTTTATGTGGTTTGTAATCCGCCTGCTTGTATTATCTCTCGGCTACACACTGAGAGTTTGAGTTGATTAATGAATTAATTTTCCTTTCAAAAAAAAACTATTTATAGGACTAATTATATGATTAGGGATGATAATAAGTGTTGAGTTAGAATTGGGATTGTTGAGTTTACAATTTTACATTATTTTTTATGTTCACGTGTATTATTGATGTTGTACGATTAGAGTCTCGTTCACATGAACTAGAGTTCCATTATTTAAAAAGTTGGTCTTGATTTAGAGCCTCACTCAAATGTGTAAGATTAATTTTGTATGATTAGAGTCCTATTATGTGTATTAGAGTCTCATTATTTAAACAATTTGATGTTGTACACTTATATTGGAAACTGAAATGATATGGTATTTATTCCGAATATTATACTCCATTAACATGATTGAAATTAAGAAGTTGTTCTATTCGTCCGGTATGAATATTTATCATCTGAAAGTTTTAAGATCAGGTATGATCTAATATGATTTTTTATGATATGGTCTGATAATCTTGTATGATCACATGATATGAATCTTTCTAATCTTATTTCAAGCTTTCTGATCTGATCTGGGTTTTTCTGATTTTGATCTGATATGGATCATTCCGATCTGATGTAAATATTTTTTTATGTGATTGAGTGTTTATTAGTATTACTAGTAACTCTACCCGTGCGTTGCACGGGAGTGAAATACCTACATAGTTATATGCAATTTTATGAAAACTA